GCCAACAATCAATTGAAGGCCTTAGAGGAAGCTATATTCACCGACAAGGCTCAAGAACAGATTATAAACCATTGCAATAAAAAGCAAGTGGAGTTTAAGTTCATACCGCCCCGAGCACCATCGTTTGGCGGGCTTTGGGAAGCTGCGGTGAAATCCGCGAAGCGGCTGCTAGTATCAGTCACAGCCACAGCTTCATTAACATTTGAGGAGCTTAACACCGTAATCGTGGAAGTCGAAGCAATCCTCAATTCCCGACCGCTGACACCGATGTCATCTGATCCAACAGATACATCAGCTCTGACTCCTGGCCATTTTTTGATTGGTGAACCGTTGACCGCCGCTCCCGATGCAAATCTAGCCTCACCAGGGAAAACGTTGGTGAAAAGATGGGAATTAGTGTCCAGATTAAAGCAAATGTTCTGGGACCAATGGTCTATGGAGTATCTACAAGAGCTTCAGATGCGCAACAAGTGGAAAACCGCATTACAAAACGTGAAGGAGGGACTACTTGTGCTAGTCAAGGAAGACAACGTGCCTGTGATGAGTTGGCCAATGGGACGAATAGTGAAGACTTATCCCGGTAAGGACAACCATGTCCGAGTAGTAGATGTAAAGACTGCATCTGGGATCTTCAAACGGTCAGTAACTCGTCTCGCGCCACTGTTGAAAGAAGAAACCGCCGTCAAACGTCCGCACAGTTCCGTCGAAGATACAACGTCAAAGGATGAAATGCCAACTCAGAGAAGGAAGGTGTCACCTTCAATCCTTCCAACCTTGCTGGCAATGTTACTCATGCTGCCACTAGCGACATGATAATGTAATAACTGAACTCAAACACAAGTGTTCAGAATTACAAAACGTCAATGCATGTAACTCTATATATGCGCACTTCCAACACGTACATGCCGAGTTACAAGCCGGAAATGAGCTTATTAATCACTCACGGCAGCGAAGATCACCGCTAGATATAGTCGGTAATGTGGCGAACTCATTATTTGGCGTGCTGGATTCCAAATATGCTGAAGATATGTCCAAGGTCATAAACGATGTCAAATCAAACGAGGACGTATTAATGATGCTACTGAAGAACCAAACATCAATCTTGGATTCCACTATAAATGTGGTAAGGAAAAGCAATTCAGCTACCAACGACCGCATACGAAACATAGAACGACAAATAGATGCTCTCACCAGAGAACGAGGAAAATATCAAGGCAACTATCTGCAACAAGCATTCATGATCCTGACAGCCCAACTCACTCTACTGGCAAATGGAATGCAGCGAATGCAAAATGAGATAACCAACGTTCTTACCGACATTCGCCACCGAACAATTAGCCCCATGCTAGTTTCTCCCCAACAATTAAGGGATCAACTTGATCAGATTAGGGAGCACATCCCACCGGATCAACAGCTGCCAGTCTCTTCAAATGACGTAATACAACTCTATCGAATCATGCATGCCGAGGGAACAACAACCACTGACCATGTTATCTTCAAAATATCGCTGCCATTAGTATCCACAGCGCAGCAAGAAGTTTTCAGCGTCTTCCCCATCCCTGCATGGAAGGCAGGAAGCTGGCATGAATTCAAGCTCAAAACAAGGATCATAACTGTCAATGCCCATAGAGATCAATTCATGGGACTAACTACTGACGAGTTTGATCAATGTCTACAATTGCCAAAGGATGAACACATATGCGTCAATCATCAAGCTACGTTTAGCGTAGATAATCGATGTGAATTTCAGTTGTTCAATAACAAGACTGAGACGGAATGTGAGACTGCTAAATCGAAGTTCGATTTAATATGGTCAGCAACACATCAACGAAACAGATGGATGTTTGCAACCCACAGTCCGATCGAACTGCAGGCGGTATGCAAGGGAGTTCCCTCCACGGTACAAATGGAAGGAACAGGCTTACTATCACTCACCGCAGGTTGCACGGCGCGCAACTCAAAAATCAGTGTTAGTACATTTAGCACAAGTCGCAGCGAGACAAAAGCAGCATATGTTCGTTTTGGCAACATCACCAAGATAGACATAGAAGAGACACCGAAACCAGTCGGAGAATCGACAACCAAGATAACTGACGCCGAATTAGGCGAATTAGATGCCCTACAACAACAACTGGCCAAACTAAAAGATGCGAAGTACGAAAATCAAGTCAGCGTTGTACACCATCATCAAGTAGCCGCCTATGTGGCACTATCAATATCAATACTACTGATCGTGACCCTGAGTCTACGATATCGACGAATCAATTGGAGAACACCACAATGCAGTCCCAATCCCCGGACAACAAGTGAACAGCCAGTACCCGAACCTACCCCACGGAGTTTTTCGTTCGACATTACTGAAGGTTGAACACCCGTTCAACGGCCGGGAGAATGTTCAGTCGCTGCAATATATATATAATTCATAATCATAACATTAGATAATCTGTAATTCGTCAGACGCAGCACTCTCATATGCAGCCAAAATAAAGTATAGATTACCAGGTCAAGCGCATATGTAGATTCTGCTGACGCGATGAAGTAGAATGGAGCAATAGCCTCATTCTGCATATACCATTACAACCTACATTATTCTTCCACATCAACATTTGTAACCAGAAGCATATTTGTTTCCGCATGCACTAGCAACCTACATTATTCTTTATCATTAATATTCGTAAATGCAAGCACATTTGTTAGCTATAAATATCGTTAAGTTTTGTAACGAATCTCTCCGGCCGGGATAGATCCCAGTCGTGACCAGGGATCCTCTTCAAGAAATTTATTTAGAGGGGACGGAAATATTTATAGGAATTTATTATAACAGCGTGCGGGACCCGGGTTGCGAATTTACGCGCACTTAGTTCTGATCCCCGAGGGTCGGCAACGTGACTGCCAGACGAGGTGGTCACGAGATGCTCTAGGAGCAGGCGGGGCACACGCGCTGCTTGTCAATGGCCGGTCGCCGCGCTGCTTTTACCGACTCGTCGATCTGCTTGATCGGTCGGTCCCTGACAGAAAGCTGCTCGTCGCGAACTGCTTTAGACACTGCTTGCGCCTACTGCTTGTTTGTACTGCTTTCGCCGGTGCGCGGAGTGGCAACTCCGGTGGACTCCCGGCGGGATTTGGTTGATCTCGCCCAGAATTCGGGCGACGTGGGTCGAGGGAATGGCCAGGGCGTCAGAGAGGTGTTAGTCAACTCCGGCTGGGCACGGAGGCTGGCTACGGGTCGGTCAGGCAGAGATTCTCGAGTCACCGTGGTGATGCGGGGGGAATGGCCAATGCAGGCGTGGCGGCAGCGTGTGTCGGAGTGTCCCTACTCTAGGAGTGGATACGGACGCGGATGCACTCGTAGTCGTGGCGGTACACAGTACGCGGGAAAACAGGGTTAGTGGCGCGACGGCTACGGGCACAAGAAGGGGGTCCCTAGTGGGGCGAAGGCAGAGGAGCACGTGTCCTCCAGTCGCGGCGGCACGTTGAGCACGGAAGGAGCCTGTGCTGGCGTGGCGCTGCGGCTGCAGGTATGACAGAGGGTCCTAAACTGTGCGTGGACGGAGGAGTATGTGTACTCCAGTCGCGGCGGCGCGCTGTGCACGGAAGAGCCGGTGCTGGCGTGGCGCTACGACTGCAGTTGCGATAGAGGATTCCTAAGCTGGGCGTGGGCGGAGGAGTAGGTATCCTCCAGTCGCGGCGGCACGCTGTGCACGGAATGAGCCTGTGCTGGCGTGACGCTGCGGCTGTGGGCACGGGAAAGGATTCCTAACTGAACGAGGGCAGAGGAGCAGGTGTCCTCCAGTCGCGGCGGCACGCTGGGCACGGAATGAGCCTGTGCTGGCGTGACGCTGCGGCTGTGGGCACGGGAAAGGATTCCTAACTAAACGAGGGCAGAGGAGCAGGTGTCCTCCAGTCGCGGCGGCACGCTGTGCACGGTAAGGGCCTGTGCTGGCGTGACGCTGCGGTGGGGAGCACGGGAGAGGATTCCTAGCGGCGTGGGGCAGAGGAGCAGGTGGCCTCCAGTCGCGGCGGCGCGCTGTGCACGGAAAGGGCCTGTGCTGGCGTGACGCTGCGGCGGGGAGCACGGGTGAGGATTCCTAACGGCGTGGGGCAGAGGAGTAGGTGTCCTCCAGTCGGGGCGGCACGTTATGCACGGAATGGACCTGCGCTGGCGTGACGCTGCGGCTGGGAGCACGGGAGAGGATCGATGGGAGGCTGGATGGCCGTAAAACACGTGCGAATGGAAATGTCGAAACGCAGTATTTTGGGGCCGCCAGCGGGACAGAGATCGGGGAACCTGAAAACCGTGACCAATACTACCAAGGAAATACTACTACGGGTAGGTTCAATTGTTAGTTTATTGGTTATTGGGTTATCTAAGTGTGTAGCCTACTACTGCCTTACAGAATTGCCTCCTGTAACTTACGAAACTAGCCCACGTGTCAGCGGGCGTGGGGGCTGTCGCGGTGGTTTTCTTGTCACTGTGTCGGTTTGTTTCTCGTCGTTAATGTCGCGGTGCGGGCGTGTTCGTCGCGGGATGGGACGAGGACGCGATATACTTTGATTGTTTGACTCGGTCGCGGAGGCGCGGCGATGGGCACGTCTGCCTCGGTGCAAAGTTTTCGACGGAAGAGAGCGAATCCCGGAAGACGCGAGCTGTCATAGCTTTTGAGTGAACCGGTGGTTCGAACCGGTTCACCGAGAACGGATCTGGTTCGACTAGTTCGACTAGTCGATAATGTGCCCGATTTAGCGACCTCTGAGGTGCTAACTTAGCTTATTCGTTAGCTTAATTATCCCTATTTAAATATACTCCACGGTTGTCTTGATTACGGCTCCAATGCCAACTAAAGAAGTTTTAATAATAATGTATTGGCTTCAGTGCCGACTTACTCTCTAAACTTAAACTATGGCTATAATATGGGGGGAATGGTTATATGCTTAGTATCTAGGGCTTATTTCGTATAGGAGGTTGTGCGCCTGTAGAATAGAGGCGTCACACTCCCTTCTTACTCCGCCCGGCCGAAACGGATCTGGACTTCTCCTGTCGTTTTCATGGGGATTTGGTATGGTCCTTCCTGCGTGCGGACGCGGAAGCGCTGACGGGAGTACTGTGCGGCATGGCTCCGGCGCGCTATCTCCTGCCAAACCGCCAGTGGAACTCGCTGGTCGTGCGTGTTAGTCCACCAGGCGGCTGGTATGGCGACTCGCTCGGGCGCTGGGTCGTCGGTGGTGAAATCATCCGCCGGAGGGGCTCGACGAGCAAAGCGTGGCCCCGGAGGTGGAACCTCGTCGGCGGTGGTGGCCGCAGGAACTGGGCGCGGGAAGCGCGGTGCCGGAGGTGGGACCTCGTCGGCGGTGGTGGCCGCAGGGACTGGGCGCGGGAAGCGCGGTGCTGGAGGTGGGACCTCGTCGGCGGTGGTGGTCGCAGGGACTGGGCGCGGGAAATGCGGCGCTGGAGGGGCACTTGGGTCCCAGTCTGGGATTAATTCTTGTACAAGACCCTCTATTCCCGGCTCGAGCGCCTCCATGAGCATATCCATCGTGCCCGGAGAGAGATCGAACCCGCGATCTCCGAAGCCGACACGTGGGGTGGCTGGGGGAGTGACCTCCTCGTGGGTAGTGGAGCGGCTATGGTTCGCTGCCCGGCGGTTGATCTCGGCAGCGTTGGGCGGCGCGTTCCTTGCGGTGGCTATCCCGCGGCGGTGGGCCGAGGATCGCTGGTCTGGCATAGCAATGTTCGGCGGTGGCCGTGGTTGCGCCTCCTTGCGGCGGAATTTTTGCCCCGTCTCCGTCTCGCTATCGCTGCTCTCAGATTCCCACTGCATCGCCTTCCCGGTGGGCTGGTAGCCCTGCTCGGTGGTTTCGTTGGCGATGGGAATTGAGCCTCGGCTTGAGGATGCTAGCGGGGCGTTGTCATCGTCCTGGTTGGTGTTGTGGCGCGTTTGCTGGCTGGTAGATGCCAATGGTGTGTCGTTGTATGTTTGGAGGTGGAGCGCCTGTTTGCTCGTTGATGCCAGTGGTGCGTTGTCGTCGGCCCGGTCGCCGGGGAAGATGGGTAGGACCGCATCCTCCCCCAGTGCTGGCGACGGCGGGCGGACCTCGGGGGTATTTCCCAAGTCCATCTCCCAGTCCTCGTCCGGGGCCATTATACACAGCCTCTCCGGTGACGGGGGAAAGGTGACAATCGGGTCAGGAGTTGGCCGGAAGGGTGCCTCGATGAGAATGGAGGTGTAGCAGGCGTGGATTAACTGAATCCACGATCCCCGCCAGAACCCGTACCGCTCCTCTCCTTCCCATTGATAGTGGGCTGCCGAGGGGGCACCATCGTCTGGCTCGCTGTCGCTACTAATTGTTTGCGCGTCGTCGTTGCTCTGCTCGCTGGCTTCCTCCCCGTGGTATCCGGAGTACAGAGGGGTGGCGTCGCTGTCGGTGGCATCCTCCAGCACGTAGTCCTCGTCGCGTGCCGGGGCAGCTGGACTGGGGGATCGGGAGTCTCCCTCCTCGTCGTCATCCTCGTCTGACTCCGGGTCCGGCTGGCGAGGGCTACATGGGCTGTAACGCCCTTCAGGTGGTGGAGCAGCAGCGGTCGGGTCGGGGTGTCCTGGAGCGGGGCGCGGGTTGTGGAACCAACGCGAGTGACCCGGCGCGTCCGGGTTGTGATACCCTTGGTAGGGTCCCGACGGCGGAGCTTGAGAGCAGGGGATCCTGCGTCCAGTCCTGTCCGTGTAGTACGGGGAGGCCGAGCGGCCCGAGGGTCGTGGAGGCGTTGGTGGCGCGGCGCGCCGTGGTGGCGATGTTGAGGGGGCCTCATCCGAAGACTCGGACATCGGGTGCGGCGTGGCTCGGCGCGGTGGCGCTCGGGCCGTAGTTGGCTGCATCGGGGGTGACGGGGCTCGGGTGCGGCCCGAGGGTCGTGGAGGCGTTGGTGGCGCGGCGCGCCGAGTTGGCGAGGCTGACGGAGACTCGTCCGACGACTCGGACATTGGGTGCGGCGTGGCTCGGCGCGGTGGCGCTCTGGGCATGGTTGGCTGCATCGGGGGCGACGGGGCTCGGGTGCGGCCTCGAGCCTGTCGGATCCCGGTTGGGCAGGGTCTTGTGGGTCTGCCGGCGTAGTATGCGCCAGGGCGTAGCCGGGGGTCGCGGCCGGTCGTTGGCCTGTCGTACGCTCCATTGGGAGCAGTGTTCTCCTCGTCGCTGGAGTCTACTGGGATGGACTCCATCCTGGGTGATTCGTGGCACGCGCGTAGATACGTCTATGGGAGAAAAGAACTATCCAAACTTAAACTAACCAGTACTTAGATGTTAATGTCCTAACGGGCAGTAGTAGGCAAAAGTTCTAATGTTAATCTAATTGCTAACAATGGTCTTAGGGTTAGGGGGAACCTAGTGGGCTACTTAAATTCACCCCTCGCTGATATCGCGGTCGGGTGACCGTGGCTTGTCGGACCCGGGTTGAACACCGGCGTTGTCCTCCGACATGGCGTCGTCGTCGGTGTCTGCATCACTTGTGGGAAGAAAAGAATGGAATTCTTTTAAGTCGGCGATATTGGCAAGGCGGCCCTTTCGTTTCCCGGGCAAGCGGATTCGGGCTATGTTTGGGGACGGAAGGGCGACCACTTTATATGGCCCGTCGAACTTGGGCGCGAGTTTTGCAGCGAACCCGTCCACCGCTTTGGATAGGTGGTGTTGGCGCACGAGGACCAGGGAGCCGATGGTGGGCCTCCATGCCCGACGCCTGAGGTCGTACTGCCGTCCTTGGTCGCGGCTTGCCTTCTGGATGTTTGTTTGGACGATCTGGAAAATTTCCTTCAGTCGTCCAGCTCGGTCGGCAGGGGTCTCCGGAGCGACGCCTGCTCCCGGTGTCACTTGATCGTACCATGAGCCTGGTAACCGCGGCTCTCGTGCCTGTAGTAGGAAAGCCGGGCTGTACCCTGTGGTCTCCGAAATGCTGGTATTGATGGCGAGGCTCAGCTCAGGTATTAGCTGATCCCACGTACTCTGATCGCTGCCGACGTACTGAGAGATCATGGTCTTGACTGTGCGGTTCGCTCGCTCCGTGGGGTTCTCGCGTGGACAATAGGGGGCCGTGTATTGAAGTTCTACGCCCATCTCCCTAAGGAATCCTCTGAAGGCCTTGCTGGTGAATTGGGTGCCATTGTCGCACACCAGTTTCTTTGGAGCTCCAAACCTCCCAATGATCCTTTCGCGGAACGCCTGTATCAACGTGGTGGTGGTGGCTTTTCGCAATGGGACTAATTCCACCCACTTGGTGAAACTATCGAAGAAGACCAGCAGCATTGTGTTTCCTGCCTTGGAGCGCGGTAGTGGTCCCACGAAGTCTGCACATACGATGCCGAAGGGTTCATCGACCTGTCTCGTCAGCATCCTTCCTGCTTGTGCCTTTTGCTCTGCTTTATATTTCTGGCAGAGGGCGCATTGACGGACGTATTGTTTCACGTCGCGGAACATTCCGGGCCAGTAATATTTTTGTGAGATCCGCAGAATCGTCTTCCGGGTGCCAAAGTGACCAGCCGTGAGCGCGTCGTGGCATTCTTGGAGGATCCGCGCTCGATGCTCAGCCGCAACGCAGAGCTTCCAGGGGATATAATCCTGGTCGTCTGGGCGGTGTCCGAGGTGTCGGTACAGCTCTCCGTTCTGAATGACATAGTCGGGAAATCTCTGGGGGTCATCCTGAACATCCGCCAGTTTTCGTTTCAGCCATTTGCACAATCGTTCGTCTGGCATTAGTCGCTGGAGGTGCTCCAGTGGTTGCCGGGATAGGGCATCGGCGACCACGTTATATTTCCCGAGGCGATAGTGGACATCGTATTGGTACTGTTGAAGATCTAAGGCCCACCTGGCGATCCTTCCAGTCGGGTTCTCAATTTGATCTAACCATTTCAGGGCCAAGTGGTCTGTGATCACGTCGAAGCGATAGCCCTCGAGATAGCATCGGAGCTTGCGGATTCCCCAGACGATGGCTAGGCATTCCTTTTCCGTAGGGGAGTAGTTGAGTTCGGCAGCGTCTAGCTTCCGACTCACGTATGCGATGACCCGTTCTTGCCCCTCTATTTCCTGCGTCAGCACACCTCCGAGCCCATAGTTACTCGCGTCGGTCTGGAGCGTCATCTTGACGGAAAAGTCTGGACATGCCAGTACCGGAGCATCCGTTAGCAGACTTTTGAGGAGCTCGAAGGCTTTCTGTTGTTCTTGCTCCCACTTCCACCGCTGGTTTTTGCGCAGCAAGTTCGTCATGGGCTGAACAACAGACGCGAAGTTCGGTACGAACCTCCTGTACCATGAGGCCATGCCTAGGCATCTGCGTAACTCTCGAAGACTCGTGGGTGGACTGAGGTTCCGCACGGCGGCTACCTTTTCAGGGTCCGTGTGAATGCCCTGGTCGCTAATGACGTGGCCGAGATAAACCAACTTCCGTTTGAAGAAGGAACATTTGTCTTGGTTTATCCGTAAGTTCGCCTTCCTGAGCCGCTTGAAGACTCTCCGCAAATTTTCCATGTGCTCTTCGAGACTGGCACCGATGACGATTATGTCGTCTAGATAAGCGAAGGCATATGGGTCCAAGTCTGGCCCGATCACGCTGTCGAGCGCTCGCTGGAAGGTGGCTGGAGCCGAATGGAGCCCAAAAGGCATGACCCGCCACTGGAAAAGGCCGCGGCCAGGGACCGTAAAGGCGGTACACGCCCGACTGCCTGCTTCCATTGGAATCTGCCAATAGCCATTGCGCAAATCCAAGGTGGAAATATACTTTGCGTTTCGAAGCCGCTCAAGGATATGGTTGATACGCGGCAGTGGATACGCGTCGGGGATCGACTTGGCATTTAGCTGACGATAATCTACGCACATGCGCCATTGTCCAGTCTTTTTCCTGACCAGGACCAAGGGAGCGCTGTGCGGACTGCGCGATGGCTCGATGCAATGCTGATCAAGGAGGGCGTCCACCTGCTCGTCGATGATCTTCTGCATAGCCGGGTTCTTTGGGAAATACCGCTGCTTGATGGGCCGATCGTCTCGCATGGTAATCCTATGCTCGGCGATATTGGCCACTCCGGTCATTCCCTCGAATTGAACCAGCTGTTCGTATAAAAACTCCTGGATACGAGGGTCTTGTTCCTCGTTGGTGGCCTCGGGGGCGCCCTCAAGATTCTCCTCGGGTGTCTCGGGGTGTGTGTCGATGTGTGCCTCTGTGTGCTTGTCCTCGGTGTTTACCATCTCATGTAGGTTCATGAGATTACTCTCAGAGGTTCCTGTGCTTGGGTTCCTGTGTGCCTCTGTGTATTTCCCTTGTTTGCCCGCGCTGGGGCTCTCGTGTGTCTCTGCGTGTCTACCTTGTGTGCCCGCGCTGGGGCTCTCGTGTGTCTCTGCGTGTCTTCCTTGTATGCCCGCGTCGGGGCTCCTGTGTGTCTCTGTGTGTCTTCCTTGTGTGCCCGCGTCGGGGCTCCCGTGTGTCTCTGTGTGTTCATTGTATTGCTCTCCGGCGTTAGTATTCTCGTGTATCTTGTGTTGCTCTCCGGCGTGTGTCTCCGTGAAATGGTCGGCGATGCCCAGGCGGGGGTCTTCCGGGCGAGTAGGCGGTGCTTCCTTGCTCAGCTCGGATCCGGCTGGGCCCCGTGGGCTGGGTGGTTCGGTGGTTCGAGAGTCCGTTGTATGTATGCTGCGTCTCGCGTCTCTGGGTGGCCTCATGTCCCGCTCTTCCGGCTGTCGTCTCGACAGGATGAGTTTGGCCGTCCCACACTGGATGGTGGTGCCGATCGTGGCCAGGAAATCCATGCCCAGGATCAGGGGTTCCAGCATGGCCGGCATAACGAAGAGGGGCACCTGGATAGTCTTCCGAGCGAGGGTGATATCGGCGCGCAGGAGTTGTCGAACCTCGACTCGCGAGGTGTCGGCCAAGTTAATTTGGGTGCGGATCTCCTGAAACTGGTGTCGTTGGCCAACTAGGTTGGCGACTTCCTGGCTGATGAAGCTCTTCGATGCGCCAGTGTCGATGGTGGCCAGACGTCGATGGCCACCGATCTCGACTTCTGCGGCGATCCTCCCTCTCTCGATTCTTAGCGGCGCGTTTACAAGGTGTTCGTTGCGGGATTGGTCCCCAACGGACTCCGCCGGTCGTGGGGACCCGCTCCGTTTCCCGGCTGGGGTCGGCGGCAGCACTCTAAGGTGCGAACATCGCGTCGTCCGCAGTCCCAGCAAAAGTATAGCCGAGGGTTCCGGCATTCGCGGCTGAAATGCCCGGAATCCCCGCAATTTCGGCACGCATCCTGCACGTTGATGCGGCGATCTGGTGTCGCTACCCGGTTTACTCGCACGGGCGCGGGCGGCCGTACCTGACCTGGCGTCCGCGGAACGTCGTTTGATCTGGTGCACCCGGGGGAAAATGTTTGACCCCCACTGTGGGGAGGCGGACGGAAGGAGGGGCTACTCGGAGGCGTTGACATTGCTTGGGATCGCCCTAGGCTACGTCGCCTGACGGCTTCGAATTCGGTTGCCAGTTGGGCCAGCTCCCCAATGGTTTGGAACTCGCTGCGCCGAATGTACATCTGATAGTCGGGTGCGATATTCTCGTACAGGCGGTCGAGCTCCTGGGTCTCGTTGTAGCCCGCGTGGCGCATGAGAACGCGAAGGTCGAGCATATAATCTTTGAAAGTTTCTTCTCCTAGCTGCTCGCGACTCCGGATTCGGTCGTCCAAGCGCTGGAGGTACCTGGGCGGGAGGAAAAACTCGAGGAATTCCCGTCGGAATGTAGCCCAATCAGCCTCTTGGAGGCGGCTGGTTTGAAACCACTTGTCGGCCCTGCTCGTCAGCAGTTCCGCCATGGCTCGAGGGAGGAGTCCTAGGTCGATTCCATAAGACAAGGCCCGACTTTCGACCTGTTCGATGAAGGCCAATGGGTCGGAGTACCCATCAAATTGCAAACCCCATTTGCGGATCCGCTCTGGGACGCACACAAAGTCGCGACGGGGCCGGTCGTAGCTCGGCTCAGCGTAGGTTTCTCGAGCGGTAGTGAAAGTAGGAGGGGCGGCGACGGCGAGGCTTGGGGCGGTAACAGTGAAGCTGGGAGTGGTAACAACGAAGCTAGTTAGAGGAACTGGAGTAGTGGAACCGGGGGGCGCTACGTGGGCGTCCAGAATTGGCATTTTTGCCGGCGGAGAGACCACTGGGTCCCGGCCGCTCTTCTCCCTGAGGCACAGGGCTCGGGCCC